GATGTAACCACACTTAATTATATTTATCCTCAAAGAATCAAACAGAAAAATTGTCCATAAATACTGGTGACAAACACATGCAAAGTGCAAAAAATGCAAAAAAATTGTGCAAAACAAATGTGTCCTTGTTCCACAGCAGTGCAACTCTTCCCCTCCTACGGCTAGATTGCCTCCTCACCTCCTTGCATCGACCCCTAAGGGCCACACAGCATTCAGGATCTCTCTGGATCCTTATCCCCTAGAGATCAGCACTTCTCCTGCCGTCGTGGATCACTTTGAGGGTACTTCCATTACCCCCACTCAGAAGCCTCTATAGGATGATTACTCACCATCCAGTGAGCAAGAAAGAAAGAAATCCTCTAAGTGCAGTATTTTAGAGCCAAAAAACACTTTAATGACAGTGTTCAAAAGACATATAGCCACTCACATATTTCCATAGTCCTCTTGACTCGACATGTGGGTGTGCTGCATGTAATCAGAAGGACTTCCTGGGTATACCAAGATGGCGGTTAGCGCCGGAAGTGCGTCACCGCGTACCGGAAGTTTGGCGTGCTAGCGTGCCTACGCGTTACGTCACTGTTACTCGTGACTTCCTCTGGGCTTTGCCCTAAGCACGTCTATCCTCCCTTAAATAGCGGACCTCCTACTAGTTGTTAACTATCGGTCCACCCCCTTCCTCATTGACACGGAGCGGCCATTTTCTTGAAGCGCATCTCCACTCCAAGAGTGAGGAAACGTCCTGTAACCCTAGGGATAATATGAACGCCATGCATTCTATCCATCCCTGAGATTATCAACCAGACCCTAATGCTTACAATTTAATTTATTTTATTAAATACGATTAAAATACAACATTTATTATAGGGATCTTAAATCATTTCATAATGGACCTATACTACATCCCAGGATAACTATAAAACCCCAATTAGATACTCATATATATTTCATACAGTAATATAACAATACTAGAATATACCATTTTTATTATTACTAAAATCTATATAATTATAATACCTTTAATAAGACCCGAGTAACAAAGAAAATTATTTTAAAATTAATATTTTGTTTATTTATAAATAAATGGAATACCACATTAATGGAATCCCAATTTAAAAACATTCCATTACCTGCAATTCACCCACACATTTACAAACATTACTTGAACATAAAATATTTGTTCTCCATAGCCATAAGTCTTCATTAAATAAAATAATTTAAAAATCATTTAAAAATCACTAATGAAACAGTTCAAATCGAACTCGACATTTAACCCCTTAGGGACCTGCGTTTGCATATAGTAGATCCACCTAGACTCAGTCTGACTCAAAGATATAACTTTGTTGCTACCCCTCCAGTGTTTCCTAAACTTTTCCACACCCCAGAATTTCATCTTACTGGGGTCTTTATTGTGGTACATGGCGAAATGTCTCGAGACATTGTGTTTTGGGAACCCTTTTCTAATATTTTGGACATGTTCCCTCAGTCTCTTCCATAATGGCCATTAATGTGGTATTCCATTTATTTATAAATAAACAAAATATTAATTTTAAAATGATTTTAAAATAATTTTAAAAATAATTTTCTTTGTTACTCGGGTCTTATTAAAGGTATTATAATTATATAGATTTTAGTAATAATAAAAATGGTATATTCTAGTATTGTTATATTACTGTATGAAATATATATGAGTATCTAATTGGGGTTTTATAGTTATCCTGGGATGTAGTATAGGTCCATTATGAAATGATTTAAGATCCCTATAATAAATGTTGTATTTTAATCGTATTTAATAAAATAAATTAAATTGTAAGCATTAGGGTCTGGTTGATAATCTCAGGGATGGATAGAATGCATGGCGTTCATATTATCCCTAGGGTTACAGGACGTTTCCTCACTCTTGGAGTGGAGATGCGCTTCAAGAAAATGGCCGCTCCGTGTCAATGAGGAAGGGGGTGGACCGATAGTTAACAACTAGTAGGAGGTCCGCTATTTAAGGGAGGATAGACGTGCTTAGGGCAAAGCCCAGAGGAAGTCACGAGTAACAGTGACGTAACGCGTAGGCACGCTAGCACGCCAAACTTCCGGTACGCGGTGACGCACTTCCGGCGCTAACCGCCATCTTGGTATACCCAGGAAGTCCTTCTGATTACATGCAGCACACCCACATGTCGAGTCAAGAGGACTATGGAAATATGTGAGTGGCTATATGTCTTTTGAACACTGTCATTAAAGTGTTTTTTGGCTCTAAAATACTGCACTTAGAGGATTTCTTTCTTTCTTGCTCACTGGATGGTGAGTAATCATCCTATAGAGGCTTCTGAGTGGGGGTAATGGAAGTACCCTCAAAGTGATCCACGACGGCAGGAGAAGTGCTGATCTCTAGGGGATAAGGATCCAGAGAGATCCTGAATGCTGTGTGGCCCTTAGGGGTCGATGCAAGGAGGTGAGGAGGCAATCTAGCCGTAGGAGGGGAAGAGTTGCACTGCTGTGGAACAAGGACACATTTGTTTTGCACAATTTTTTTGCATTTTTTGCACTTTTTTGCACTTTGCATGTGTTTGTCACCAGTATTTATGGACAATTTTTCTGTTTGATTCTTTGAGGATAAATATAATTAAGTGTGGTTACATCACTATACTTGGAGCACTTTAAAATTATTTAAAATATTTTCCAGTGAGGATGTTTTCTATAGGTTTTTTATACTATTTTATAGGTTTTGTTATAGTTTTTTATTATACGTTGTTTATATGTACTTTTTATATGCGTTTTACATATATTTGTGTGATTATGTGGGCACCTAAGATCATCATTAAGTGGCACTTATAATTGAGGTCATTTCACTATGTGTGTCACTATTGCATGTGAGCACAGTTATCTTTGTATTTAAGTTAGTTTTGAGCGCTACACTATTTATATAATTTTGATATTTTCACTGTTTGGGTAACAGATTAAGTGTTGGCAGCTTACAGTAGGGTTATTTCCCTTTTGCGCAGGAGGATCTCTGTTTATATTCTCATGGGACAATATTGATGTTCATACAGGGTCTAATTATGTCCCCCAATTCTACAAGGGGGAACAATGTGAGATCTGTGGAGTGTGGTGTTTTTTTGTTTTGTTTTTTTCATGTTTTAATGATGCTTTCATTAAAGAAGTCGTTCATGAGTTCCTTGACCATCTGCTTACTAATTTATGCTTAGATTAATATAATAACCAAAAACCCTAGAGTCCTGGTTGAGTCCATAACTAATCATTTTATTTTGGTTTATTATTGGATCTTTGATTGGGGACTCCCGGACCACACATTGTTTCTAGACCTTGAGGCTTTTTCTTTGGGAGGTATTATATATTACATACAATTTTATACAGTGCTCACAGCCACTGCTACTGTTAATGACTCAAATAGTTTGTTGGACCAACTTGGTCCAAATGAACGTTTTAAAATTAAGTGAAGTTAAAAGAAACCCGGAAGTCCGCTTTAAAGCCACATATTTTTCTTTTGATATCCATGCTTTTTATCCCACATGGATTACCCTGCTGTGTGGAGTTTTACAACAAATTGTTGGGTGTTAACCTGGGTATACACTTATTTCAGCCGAGTCAACTTGGAATTTTGATCTCTTGTGACAAACCTTTCACTTCAACAGAAGCAGGCTCCTCCCAGTTTCTGTCGAATGGTCCTGCTGGAAACCAGCATTTTTTTCAGCCCTTTTATGCAGCACTGATCCTTGTATTCTGATAGGTGACTGATTGTCTTTGCTGTCAGAACACAATAACCCAGTGGAAGAGATTTATGCATCCAAATCACTTGTGTGGTTGTAGGATTCTGTGATCTATTTATTTATTTTTTTTGTGTTCAAGCCTGTCTGGATGAATGGGAAAAAAAGCTGAATATCCAGCTGTAAATAAGGGGCCAGAGTGAGGGGGGGGACCTGCATGCCAACTTCCACTGGGGAAGCCCTTTAGGCTGTGGGTTTAATCCGTGTCGGCCCCAGGGCTGTGGAGTCGGTAGGTTCCGACTCCAGGGGGGTTGAGCTTCCGACTCCTCTGTATTAATATGTGAATGTATTTTATACCTTTCCCTTGCGGGAAAGAAAGGTAAAATACCTGTCATGGGATACCCAGGCTACTGGCTGGGAAGCCAACAGTCTACTGTAGGTTGGACGTTTAAGCAAAAGACAAACACAATGAAAACAAAGTTTCGTTTATTAATTTTTTTTATTAATTAGCAAGTGGCTGGATAGTAGCAGCAGGCATAAACATCAGGAACAGGAACTTTACCAGTCCCATGCGTTGCGTGCCATATAGTGAAGCACATGAAAAGCATGCTTCTTCACGGTCACTCGCAACGGGTTCGTTTTGTGGTTACGTGAGGCACACCATGCATTGGTCTTTATTCTTACAGTAGAGAAGTCATGCATTATAACTTTTGTGAATTGGGATCTTTAAACTTGCTTTTTTTTTAATTCCAATCTAAATTTAATCAGGTCGGAGCATTGTTTGCCGACTCCGACTCCAGGTGTTTTTTCTCCGACTCCACAGCCCTGGTGTCTGCCAGGGTGTATTACTGGCAGGAGTTTTGGCTCTTCAGTCTTACACTCTGAAATGGTTCTAGATGGCAGTGCCAGGTGAGACAAAATGGGTTTCAGGGTTCTTATACCATGATGATGGGGCTCCAATAATGTCATGTCAGGTTTTAGTTAATTCCATAGACTTTAATATGAACAGATCAGACCATCTACCTCCCACAGTATTTTAAAAAAAAAATCCAATATACAATAAATGTGTCAGAAGCGCCTAATCAAAGTGTGTGTGTGTGTGTGATAACAAATGGTCTAATGGGAAATAAAGTAAAGTAAAAATCCAATGTGTACAGGTTTCTTTAATAAGCACATTGATTTATAACACCAGTAATGCATTTCATGATGAGTGGTAACTTTTTCAAATTTTGGTGTAGCACAAACATCATGGCCAATTACAATTTTCTTTTTTCTCTTCTATAGGGGTTCCGACCTTTTACCAACCCCAAGGCTCCAGCCCCCATTTTTGCAACACCAACAAAACCTTCAGGTGAACCCTCAGCTTCTTCCTTCTTGATCAAAAACAGAGTGCCAGAGCTGCAGAAATTCTTCCAGGTGATTAATGGAACACGAATGCTATGTGATAAAATGTGCCAATTCTTTTATGGTATGAATAATATTGTGTACATAAGGAGAGAAGTGATTGGTGGTTCTGTAGCATTTTGTCATCATAGAAATATCAGCACATCCAATCTTGTAAACTTTTTACTACAGAATGACATTTTATGTGACTGTCACGTTGTCTGCCTTTTTGTCTTAAGGATAGATTTTCATCACTGTAGGCACAGCCTTTGGTGTCCAAATTAATACTCCTTAGATCATCCATTTTACATGTTATATGTTACTGGTCTTAAATCCCAACTCCATCAGACTTTTTTTTTTCTTTCTTTAAAGCGAGTGTAAGTCACCTTTTTTACAAAAAATATAAAACATGGCCCAGAGAAGACCGTGGTGTTCCTGGGTAATGAGTTCAGATATGCCTTCTTCTTTACATAACTTTGTTTTTTGGATGCCACGGTGAACTATGTTCACAGAGATTTTTGGAAGTATTCCTGAGCCCATGCAGTGATGTGCAACACAGAATCATGCCTGTGCCTGAAGATCATGGACATCCAATAATTGTTTCAGCCTTTGGCCTTTTCCCTTGCACACAGATTTCTCCATGTTCTCTGAATCGTTTGATGATATCATGTACTGTAGATAAATTTAAAGTGGTTGTAAAGGAGTAAGGTTTTTTTTTTTTTTTTTTCTCATTGAAAAGATTGAAAGAATAAAAGCCATACAGACATGAGAAATGAGTTAGATGAAAACCGTATAATACACAACTTGCAAGTACGAGTTCTGATCATGAGGTTGACCAAAAACATTAATAAACTAGTGGGGTGTTGCCCCTGTGGGAGGGAGAGAAAAGGGAAAGTGCGAACCTAGAAGGGAGGGGCAGGGAGGAGATGTGGCTCATGTGGGAAGCATCAGGAAGGGGATCTCTTACATCTTTCACACAAAAGGTGTCGATGAGGGGTGGGGCTTTGGAATTAAGCACATTGGGAAAGGTGTGGGAATCAAGAGATCTTGGGAGAGCTAGTTCCACATATAGGTCCGTCTAAGCAGATGAAGTATGGCCCTTGTGGTGGAGATGTAGTGAAGACGGGCTATGTAGAGTGGCAAGTCAGCAGAGTAAGGTGTGGGAAAAGGGGAGAGGAAGAAAAAGAAGGGGGAAAAAAAAAGGGAGGGGAGAGTAGGCAGTCTCTTACTCCTCCTCTTGGGCGGGAGGGGGGGAACTGGTCCCCCCTCAATCCTGGAAAGTAGTAGTAGCTTGGAGGAGGGGGGAATGTAAGCAGATTAGTGTGGATGAATTTTTTTTTTTTTTTTTCTTTAAACCTTCATGCATTCTATGCTTAAAGGAAAAAAAAAAACCTGTGTGTTGCTCCCCTCACCGCCCCCCAATACTTACCTGAGCCCGATCTTGATGCAGCACTGTACACGGGAGCCTTCGGCTATCCTGGTACTCCCTCTCCTCATTGGCTGAGACCACAGTGGGAGCTGTTGGCTTCCACTGCTGTCAATCACAGCCCATGTGCCAATGAGGAGAAAGCGTGGGGAGGGGCTGAGCCACGACTGTCTTATGGATGCATAGAACCGGGCTCGGGAGCGAGCATGCACCAGTGCCCCCATAGCAAGTGGTTTGCTGTTGCGGGCACTGGTCAGGGGGGGAGAAGCGCCTGCACAAAACCTGCTTTGTGCAAAACCACTGTACAGAGCAGGTAAGTATAACATGTTAAAAAATGAGTAATCGAGCGCTAGGTCTAAAAAAATAATAGCTGCTGGCATAGAAAGGTACCTCAAGAACCAATAGGATAAGTAAATAAATAAAATAAATATGCAGCGCTAATGACATAAAAAGTGTAAAATCACAATAAATCACACTGTATAAAGTGCTGAGTCTCTATAAGCTGAGGTGATTGCGGTGATGCTTACACATAGTCACAGTGTACATATTATCATAGGTTTGTGGCTTCCGTTTTTTGATCGTATTGGGGTTCTCTACCCATGTTCACTATCACTAAAGTTACTAGCCTATTGGATTACGTACCTTTTGGCTATATGCACATATCATAGAAGCATTCCAGTTCATAAGCATTCAGCAGTTTATACAGTGTGATTTATTGTGATTTTACTGTATTTTATACTTTTTATGTCATTAGCGCTGCATATTTATTTTATTTAGGTAAGTATAACATGTTTACAACTTTTTGTTGCCCTGTCCAAACTTTTTTGAGACTTTTTTTTTTTTTTTTTTTTTTTTCTGAAAATGGTACATTTTCTTAGTTTAAACATTTTGATATGTTTTCTATTGTGAATAAAATAGGAGTTTATGAGATTTTCAAATTATTGCATTCTGTTTTTATGTAGATTTTACACGGTGTCCCAACTTTTTTGGTATTGGGGTTGTAGATAGAGAAGTTCCAGTGGGCCCACAACCCTGACTCCATCTAATATTCAGTGACAGCAAGACAGTGTAGATTCAAAGGATAAGATCAGCTACACTACGAAAAAATTCAAACGCTGGTAACTTCATATATTTGTTGAACATGAACACTTGGATCCTCCTCTGACGTGTTTTGACTGACAAGCTTGGGTTTAATCTAGGAGGAAGAGATCCCAGGCATGTTGTCTGTTTGAATTACCTGATTCAGGGCCTGGGAGAAGCATGTCCCATACTTTTGCCAGCAAGATAGCACAGTCAGCCTTAAACTGGAAATCTTTATCAGAACTATGAAATGGCAGGTCAGTGCAACTTTCCACCAACTGAATAAAAACATGGACGTAATAAGAATGTTTATTAATTCTTATGTACTAAGAACACAATGTTGTTTTTTTGGATGGAGTTCTGCTTTTATAACCGGACAGAGATTTTTAATAAAAAACATGCTATACGTACCTGCTCTGTGCAATGGTTTTGCACAGAGCGGCCTCAAACCTCCTCTTCTGGGGTCCCCTGTCGGCTCTCTTGGCTTCTTCTCTTGTGCAAGCTAAATTATTATTATTATTATTATTATTATTATTCAGTATTTATAAAGCGCCAATAGTTCGCGCAGCGCTGTACATTACAAAAGGGGGACAGAACATGTGACAGAACAATACCAATACAATGCAAAACATGAGGGGATTGAGGGCCCTGCTCTTTCGAGCTTACAATCTAGGAGGGAGGGGATGGTGGTACAGGAGGAGATAGCTGTGGGGGATGGAGTGGTAGGAGGAGTGGAGGAGGTTGGTCAAGTTAGCTGGGGGTGGGGTAGGCTTCCCTGAAGAGATGGGTTTTCAGGGTGCGCCTAAAGGAGAGGAGAGTAGGTGATAATCTGATGGGTTGGGGCAGGGAGTTCCAGAGGATGGGTGACACCCTGGAGAAGTCCTGGAGGCGGGCATGGGAGGAGACGACCAGGGAACTAGAGAGAAGGAGGTCTTGTGAGGAGCGGAGTGTGCGTGTTGGGTGGTACTTGGATATTAGGTCGGTGATGTAGTTCGGGGCAGTATGGTGGACAGCTTTGTACGTCCGTGTTAGGATTTTGAATTTTTATCCGTTGCGCAATCAGAAGCCAGTGGAGGGATTGGCAGAGGAGGGTGGCGGAGACAGAGGGGTTGGAAAGGTGAATGAGTCTGGCAGCCGTACTCAGGATGGACTGAAGAGGGGATAGCCAGCGGCGAGGCAGGCCAGTGAGGAGGGAGTTGCAGTAGTCAAGTCATGATATGATGAGGGAGTGGATGAGCTGTTTAGTGGTTTCTGGGGTTAGGAACGTGCAGATTTTGGCGATGTTGCAGAGGTGGAGTCTGCACGAGTTTGTTAAAGATTGGACTTGGGGCTGGAAGGATAGGTTGGAGTCCAGAATGACACCAAGTACTCTGGCCTGCAGGGTGGGTTTGATATTGGCGTTATTATTATTATTATTATTATACAGTATTTATAAAGCGCTAATAGTTCGCTCAGCGCTGTACATTACAAAAATCCCAAACCGAGCTGTATGTGTCTATAGACTCAGGCTATAGGCTCAGTAAATCTCAGCCCCCCTGCTCCCTCCTCACTGGCTTTGACTGACAGCAGCAAGAACCAATGGCTCTAAGAAGAGCTGCTTGCAGACAGGCACAATGCTGGTTTGAGAGAGGATGGGTTTTTTTATTTTGTTTTTTTTGTGTGGAGAATGCATTACGGTAAAAAAAAACTTTTTTTTACCTTTACAGCCACTTTAACCTGTGTTAGACTGTTTTCACTGAGAATAATCATATAATAGATTTCAGCTAATAACTAGAGGGGAGTGTATGGCTGATCACTACAAAGGGAAAGACCACCTCTTTGCTTCTCCTACCCATTAGAATAGATCTACTGTGCCTGCCCTCTGCAGAGCTGTGTATGTTATGCAGTTTCCTGCAAGCAAGCGATGCCATAGGACCAGGAAAGCAGTCTCTTTTCAAAGTTGACTCTGGCAAGCTGTCACTAGCAACTGGATTACTCTTGCACCATGGTCATTAGTCTGCTCTGTTATGCTTCAGACCGTAAATGTAAACTTGAGCTTCCAATATTTTTTCTTTTCTTTTTCTCTTTAGAAACCTGACGGCATACCTGTCCACCTAAAAGGAGGATATTTCGACAGACTTCTGTACCGAACCACTATGGCATTAGCAATCGGAGGGGTCGGGCTATTGCCTCATAGCGATCTTCATGGCCGCACAGCCCAGAAAAAAATAAATAAGTCTGGAACTGATCACAGAGCTAATGCCAAACATGTAAATTTTATTTTTGTCAATAGATCTATCTTACTGAGAGTTTTACATGTTACTGTTCCAAAAACAATTGTTTTACTTTGGGGGAGGGAAAAAAAGCGCTGCAGCCATTTCCTCAATCACATAGGCTGCGAGTACTATTTAAGTTAAGGAATGATTATAAAGTTGGATGTATTTATTGGCAACTCCTCTTCCATTCCTATGAATACACTCTTATGCAGATTTAAGAAGTGTTCTTTCTGAACAGAGCCCTAACCAGGATATGAGGCAGAATTTTTTAATTTAGTTGTCTCAGGTCATCTTACCAGATTGATTCAACTCTTGTAACGCACAAGTTGTGTTAAGGCGTTATTGCAATGGGTCACATGTACATTGAAAGCAAGACTTCTGTGCAAAGTGTGAAGCAAAATGTAACACAATAAATGCTTTCCATCCGTAATGAGTGGAATTGTCTTGTTGGTATGCTGTGTTCAGAGGGATATTCTAAACCGCACAGCAAAAGCTACCTTTCTGTACTTTTGTTGGTTTAATATTCTGCTGATAGTGCAGAAAAGAGACTTCATTTAAGGGTTAAAACCGCCGACATGAAATTTACACTGATGCATTTCTATTTGCTTAATGTGGAACTGCACTGCATCGCAAAGCAAAAATGCTATATAATTTATTTTTAATATTTAAAAACAAACTCTTCCATCCATCCATGCTTTATTTTGAAATCCTTTTGAAAAACACCTTTGGCATTTCTGGCAGTAGCCATCTTGAGTAAGGGCAGATGATTCATGTACCAGTTACACTGAAGGAAATAAGTATTTGATCCCCTGCTGATTTTGAATGTTTGCCCACTCACCAAGAAATGATCAGTCAGAAATCGAATGGTAGGTGTACTGTAACACTGAGAGACAGAATAGCAACAAAAACATTCAAAAGAAATGCATGTCTAACAAATTATGCAACTGATTTGCATGTTCATGAGGGAAAGAAATATTTGATCCTCTATCATTCAGCAGGATGTCTGGCTACTAGGTGTCTTTCATGCAGGTAACAAGCTGAGATTAGAAGCAATCTCTTAAAGGGAGTGCTGCTAATCTCATTTTGTTACCTGTATAAAAGACAGCTGTCCACAGGAGCATCAAACAATCAGATTCCAAACCCTTTACCATGGCAAAGACCAAAGGATGTCGGGGACAAGATTGTAGACCTACACAAGGCTGGACTAGGCTACCAAATTATTGCCAAACTATTTCCTTCACTGTACTTCCTGAAATCCATCTGTCCTTGGCTCAGGCTTTAGAACCCTACCCCCCCCCCCGAAGACTCCTGGGATGTATGACATTTGCCTAGGCATGGAAACCAGGAAATAAATGAAAGAATGCAAAAAAAAAAAAGTTTAACACAAGTAAATATGATCTACTTTCCTATCTATTTGCTAAATGTTAGCAACATAAGGATTAGAAATAGTCGATGTTGATTGAGAGAGTGAAGTTCCACTTTAAAGTGAACCTGAACTCAAAAAATTTAAGAACTTCTATGTTATAGTGAACATGTGAACAAGAATAATTGTTCCTAAATCTTTCAGTACAAAGTTTACCTTTTTGTCCTGAACTCCTGAAAGCTAGCCGTGCACTTCCTGTGCCTTGAACCTCATAGCTGTATATTTCACATCTAAGGCACTACTACATCTGACAGCTAGTCTCCAGAGTTTTGGTGATGTTTCTACTGTGCCACTCAATATTCTCCTTTCTGGAGAGGAACCTGCAGTGCATCTTCCTGCTTATGATTTATTCAGTCTGTGGCTCTCTTCTGAGGTGAAGGTGAGGTGGTTATTGTACCTCTTTTGCTTAAACATTACCCCACCAGGAATCACAAAAAAACAAAACCTTAATCCTTTACCAAGATGCTGCCTCCAGAGATACTTTGCAGAACAATGCATAGTATGTGAGCAATTTAAAAAATAAAAAAAAGATCAGCTATAGAACGTGTACAGTCACTGTCCACTTTAAAAGGAGGCTGTTGGCTAGCGATTTGCTTTTTGCCTGCTTTATTTGGCACAGCTTCTACAGTTTGGGTACTCTTTAAGGCAGGCTTTATGTTTTGTTTTTTGTTTTTTTTTTCCCGTGAAAAATGTGTTTATTTCCCCATCCACACATTCAAGGTGGATGGGGGAATCGCTCCCACAGCACTTTTGTATTCTGCCGGCAGGGAAGCCTTCCTTGCCGGCGAAATAAAATGCTCAGTGTTGCAGACTATAACTGGCGGCACTGATAGAGCGAAAAAACCTGAAAGGCTGGTTGTACAGAAGTCAAGTCATTCTCTCTGAGAATACTAGCTGCCTGGCTGTCATGCTGATATTTTACACACCCAAAGTGGTATTTTCAATGAAGTACAGTAAGTGGTTTTAAATGTTAATACCCAATGCCAGTGTGCAAGGTTTTACTGACCCGGACCAAGTATACCAGGTGGGAGTTCTGAATTCTTTTGGATGAATCCTTGTTTTGGTCTAGTAGCTGGCTTGCAAAGCAGATGTCTGTACAGATATTTCTAGTGTGAGTGTCATTCTTTCTTAACTGCTTGCCCTCCTGAGGATTTACCCCCCTTCCTGACCAGGCCTCTTTTTGCTACTTAGCGCTGCACTAATTCAACTGATAATTGCGCGGTCATGCAATGCTGCACCCAAACAAAATTTACGTCCTTTTTTTCACACAAATAGAGCTTTCTTTCGGTGGTATTTGATCACCTGTGCACTTTTTATTTTTCACGCTATAAACAAAAAGACCAAACATTTTGAAGAAAAACAATATTTTTTACTTTCAGCTATAAAAAATATATAGTAAAACTCAAAGTAAGTTATAAATTTAGGCCAAAATGTATTCTGCTACAGTTTTTTGTTAAAAAAAAAAAAATCCCAATAAGTGTATATTGATTGCTTTGTGTGAAAGTTATAGCGTCTACAAACTATGGTATAGATACTGCAATTTACACCATTTTTTTGCTATACAGCGCTGCGCTAGTTTAACAGACAATTGCGCGGTCATGCAATACGGCACATAAATGAAATTTATGTCCTTTTTTTTCACACAAATAGAGCTTTCTTTTGGTGGTATTTGATCACCTGTGCACTTTTTATTTTTGGCGCTATAACCAGAAAAAGTTTTGAAGAAAAAAAAATGTTTTTGAAAAAAAACTATTTTCTCATTTCGGTCAAAAAAATATCCAAAAAAACTAAAATTTTGTCAAATTTAGGCCAAAATGTATTCTGCTACATGTTTTTGGTTAAAAAAATCCCAGTAAGTCTATATTTTATTGCTTTGTGTGAAAGTTATAGCGTCTACAAACTATGGTATAGATAATGGAAGTTACACAGCTCTTACTTTCTGACTGCCCATCACATTTCTTGAGGTGCTAAAATACCAGGATAGTACAAACACCCTCAAATGACCCCTTTTCAGAAAGTAGACACCCTAAGCTATCTGCTGAGAGGCATATTGAGTCCATGGAAGATTTATTTTTTTCCACAAGTTTCTGCAAAATAACAAAAACCGTTTTTGTTTTTTTACGCAAAGTTGTCATTCAAATGATTTCTTTCTCGCATAAGCCATGGGTATGTGTGGAAATACACCCCAAATTACATTTCAATTTAAAAAACAAATACTTTTTTTTTTTTTTTTTTACTTGTAATGCACAAAAACACAATATATTGGCCAATTATTTGGTAAAATATAAAAGATAATGGTATGCCGAGTAAATAGATACCAAACATGACATGCTTTAAAACTGCGCATGCCCCGTGCAATGGCGACAAACTGCAAACATTTTTAATATCCATAGACAACGCTTTAAAAGCTACCATTTTAGATTTCCAGAGGAGGTCTAGTGTTAGAAATACTGCCCTTGATCTGACGTTCATGGCAATACCTCACATGCATGGTGAGACCGCTGTTTACATACTGGGACAGGGTCAACGCTTGTGCGCGCTTGGCAGGGGTGATTTAGTGTTTTTTTTTTTTTTTTTTTTTTTTTATCACTTTTAATGCTTTAACGGGGAATGCAAATATCCCCAATAACTTCAATGGGCATTGTCATATATTCTTTTTTAAGAAATCTGGGGTCTATCAGACTCTAGATATCTCCTCTGCCCTTACATTATCTAATCAAACCAAAATCGGTGTGATCAGATGCTTTCCCAATTTACAAACGGCGCTGTTTATATCCTGCAAAACTTAAGTGATGAAATGCTTGTAGCTTCTGAATTCTTAGACTATAGAGATGATTGGCACAATTCTGGTCTCCAATCAGCTCTATGGTCAGCTGGCAGAAATTCCGGCTGCATTCTCCGGTTCCCCCGATGGCACGAGGCTGCCTGAGAAGGCCGTGAAAGGCAGCGGGAGAGGGGGGGGGGGGGGGGGGGGGGGCATCATCTCCAGTTGCTTGTAAAAGCAATCCTGCAGCTAATTAGCCACTAGGATTGCTTTTACATGAAAGCCGATCACCAGCTGAAAAAAAAAAACGATACCAGGATGATGCCTGCAGCTGTAGGCATCATCCTGGTATAACCATTCAAAGTCCAGTGATGTACCAGTATGTCCCTGGTCCACTGCAGCCATGCTCCCTGTTAGTGATTGCTGCTAATCGCTGGGACCCGATGATTGACACCCGCTGCCGCGATCGGCAGGACGGGTTGGGCGATCACGCGCCTCCTACCTGTTTTGCAGAGCACCATTTAAAAACGGCGTTCTGCGCAGAGGAAGCCGATCTCCAGCCAGTCCAAAAATGTATACCCCCTCAACTCTGTTCAGTATGCTTCCTTTATTCTCTTTTTGCCCTTAAGATATCTTTTTAAAAATCCTATGTTATTGGACAATCCATAGGCAGGTGAGAAGTGTTTACCCAAGTGGCCGAGTAACAGTTATACTAAAATGGAGAGGCGAGGGGAGCATGCACGGCTGGCCAGCGGATGACAGCTCACT